AGGAGAACAGCGCTTAACGCATGATCAGAGACGGCCAGGTACATGTAGAGTACTTCTTTGGGCAAAGGGCTGACCAGCCTCGGCAAGGAATGCAAGTGAACTTTCAATTTCTGGAAGGCCGCCTCAGCATCCGGCCCCCATTCAAACCTTGCCTTTTTCTTAATTGCCTGGAAAAAGTATAGGCATTTGTCGCCTGATCGGCTTAGAAATCTTCCCAAGGCCGCCAGACAACCTGTTAACTTCTGAACCTCTCGGATGGTACGAGGCGACTGCATGTCAATGACCGCCTGCACCTTCTCAGGGTTCGCCTCTATTCCTCTCTGATTGATAAGGAATCCGAGAAATTTCTCAGACTCAACTCCAAAGACACATTTCTTGGGATTGACCATGACATGGTGCCGCCTGAGTGTGGCGAAAGTTTCTCGGAGGTCCGACAGATGATCTTTCTGAAGTTTAGACTTGACAATCATATCATCAATATATGCCTCGACATTCCTCCCAATTTGATCAAAGAACACAGTGTTTATCATTCGCTGGAAAGTGGCCGGGGCATTCTTAAGACCAAACGGCATGACCGTGTAACAGTATAACCCCTGATCAGTGACGAAGGTCGTCTTCTCCTGATCTTTCTTCCATAAAGGAATTTGATGGAAACCAGAGTAGGCGTCCATAAAGCTCATCAAAGCATGGCCGGCTGTTGAGTCGACCAGGTTATCAATTTTAGGCAGAGGGTAACTGTCTTTGGGGCACGCCTTGTTTAAGTCTGTGTAGTCTACACACATTCGCCAGGTGCCATTCGGCTTTTTAACAAGCACCACATTTGCAACCCAGTCTGGGAAGTAACATTGCCGAATGAACCCTGCATCAAGTAATTTTTTAACTTCGGCGGCTGCCGCCTGACTTCTTTCTTCGCCATGGTTCCGCTTCTTCTGCCGTACCGGCTTCTTTTTCGGATCCACGGCCAGTTTATGTACCACCAGATCAGGACTAATGCCTGGCATTTCATGGACTTCGAATGCAAAGATGTCCTTGTATTCTTTCAATAGTTTGTGAAAGTCGTCACCCAGACTCTCAGAGCAGTCGTCCCAACCTTGATTGTTCTGTCAGGACGTGAGTCATCTAAGATCAGGTCCGTATGCTCACCAGCCGGGCTGAGGGCGGAATTCATCCGACCGCTCCTCTGCCAATGATTGCTATTTTCTGTCTTTTCTTGCGGCCCCTGTCTGGGATGCCTTTCTCTTTTTGCCGCCTGCTTCTTGAACAGGCGCACTCTCCTTGACATTGTCAAGGTCTATTTTTCCACCACTCGACCCAGTGGCCATAACAGTGGGCTTGACATCCGAGAGATAGCACTCTCGGGCCATCTTCTGATCTCCCCTTAGGGACCCGACTGTTCCATTATCCCTCTCAAACTTGAGCAACATAAGAGATGGGATTATAACAGCCTTTATTCAGGGTTGGTCGTCCCAGAATCATGTTGTAGGCCGAGAGTTGTTTTACTACCAGGAACCGGACTACCATGTGTCGTCCTTCCCCTTTTTCGCCCAGGCGGATGGGTAAATCCACTCGTCCCACTGGGTGGACGACTCCTCCTCCAAACCCTACTAAAGGGTGGGATGCCGGATGTATGCAATCAGTCTGATATTTTAGTTTCGACAGACATTTGCTACTGATGAGATCTGAGGAGCTTCCGGTATCTATGAGGATTCGGCCAACTCTCTGGTTGGCCACTTTACATTCAATAACGATAGGGTCGTCATGCGGCCCTCTTACCCCTCCTAGATCTTCTTCAGTGATGACAATCTCAGGAAATGAATATTTGGAGGGCCGTTCTTGGTGAACGGAATTTACATCTAACCGTCTGATATTGTCTTTGTTGCCCCTAATAGTGGGGCCGCCTCCTGAGAAGCCGCCTGCAATGGTGTAGACGACTGCATCATCTGTATCGGAGCTGTCGGCCTGTTGATTCTTTTTGGTCGACTGCTTTTTTGAGGAAGTGTTCCCCGTAGATTTCTTGACATAAGTGTCAAGATCACCTTGCTCAGCCAGGCGGTCCAAATACCGCATGAGACTGATGCAGTCATTGGTGTGATGACCAACATCTTCATGATAATCACAGAATTTTTCTTGGTTCCGATTGTTTGCAGAACCCTTCATGGGGACCGGCTTCTCAATTGAGATCCGTCCCTTGATTTCCTTTAGGATAAATTGGCCATCCTTGTTAAACACATACTTTGGGGAGTATGGTTTGAATTCTTTTTTCTTCTTCTGGGCCGGCTGTTTAGAGGAATCAGCCGCCCAGACCTCTTTTCTCTTCTCATCTTTGTTTGACGACTGTTTCTGTCGTCCTTCTCTCTTGTCGGACCTTTTCCCGTCAGCCTGTTTTACCATACTACAAAGATCAGTCGCCTGTATATAGGCTTCCGCTTCAATCAAGGCCTCTTGAAGAGTCGCCACCCTCTTTCGGACCAAATCAAATTTGAAGGTCGACCCGTCTTTGAGACCTCTGAAAAAGTCAGTATAGGCTACTTCATCCGGTAACCCTTGAATCTGTATTCTCATCAGGTTAAACCGCCTGATGTAAGAACGAAGCCCCTCCTTCTCGCCCTGCTGAATTGTTCCTAAATCAAGGGTCGTCTTCTTCGCAGGGATGTTCATGGCGAAGTTGGAGGTGAATAAGTAAGCAAGCGTCTTGAAGTTATTTACACAACCAGTCGGCAGGTTGCCGAACCATTGTTGTGCGATTCCTTTGAGAGTCGCTGGGAAACACTTGCACCAAGTGGGATCATCCAACCCTTGAAGGTATATCAGGTTGGTGAATGCCATCAGATGGTCTTCTGGGTTAGTAGTGCCGTCATAGGCGCCTACTAATACATTTTTCACTTTGGCCGGCTGAGCGGCTTCAGTAATTTCCTTGGAGAAGGCCGACGGCTGTTCACCAAGTCTAAGCAACTGTAGCTGCCAGTCCATAGGTTGGACATTTTTTGCTGCATGTCCACCAAACGGAGGTGGCTGTAAAAAATACTGTTGTTGCTGTACAAACGGTAAGTTTGGTACCGCCTGGTCGCTATGAAAGCCGGACTGACGGGAGGTGCCGCCTGACTGACTCTCATGATACGACTGATTATGCCTCATCGAGGTATTTCGCAGACTGTCTTGGAAGTTTGAAGTAGAGGCCGACTCTGACAATCGGTCACTCTTCTTCTGCTCTAGCAGTAGCCGAGCGTCTGTGTATGTTTTCCTCGACCCGTCCGCCTGAATATGACGAACAGGTTTCCTATTTCCTGGAGTAGGAAAACGGTATTTTGTGAAATCAAGGGCAGGTGGCTCCCACTTCCTAGATTTAGGATGAGGGGTCGCCTCTCGCCCTTGAACTGGTTTCTTCTTCAATGAAGTGGAGGGTTTCTTAGCCGACTGCTCATTGTCCAGGCGGCTTCTTGTTGATCAACTCTTGAATTTCTCCCTTGAAGTCCCTCATGAAGGTCATGAGTTCGTTCCTTGTGATGGGAGCAGACCCATCAGTCGGCTGCTGCCGAACAGGCGGTGCGCCTGCTGGCTCGCTTCCAGTTTGAAGATGTTCCCGTTCCCTCCTTTCGGTATGACGGGTACGTCGGGCCCTTAGGGTCTCGTCTGAAGCTGTGTGAGCTTCAACTTCAAATTCATTCTCAGTATCGTGGTCCGACTGAACTTGAGGGTCGTCTAGGGGACGCCTCTCTTCAGGAGTCGGTACAGACGTGGATGCCATCTCAGAAGTACTCTCCCCACAGACGGCGCCAAATGTTTCGGGGTTTTCTGATGTCCTGCGGGAGAATTACAATTCCGAGACTGGAACCGGACGCCTGTACCTGCAAAACAAACGGATGCTCCGGATGGTTGGAGATCCGCCTCCGACGGTCAAGTTAGTACTTGATTAAGGAGTAATTAATGCGGAAATTAAAGTGATTGGGTCTCTCTAGGTGAGAGTGTTTAATGTGTGTAATCTGCTTTTTTGCGTGTAATTTCCCTTAATGAGGATTAAGGGAGGTATTTATAACCTCGGGAAACGTGCCAATCTAGGTTTAGGTTAACCTTGGGCTGATTGGGCTTCCCTCGGAAGTTGGGCCTAGGTGACCGGTTATCCCAGGTGTCATGGGAAGGACACGTGTCGTGTCGTAATTGGTCCATAGTGGACGGATCATTGCTTGACACGTGGCAGGCTCCTATTGGCCCATGTGACGGACACATGGCGGAACCTGATTGGTCCACTTGTCAGATGGTGATTGGTGGGGAAAAATCCCCTAATCAGTTTGCTTATGAGTATATGTAGCTAACAAGTGAGGAAAAGTGTCAAAAGTTTTCTTGTATATGTGTGTGCACATGATCGTAGTTATCTCTCACTTGAATTGGTTCTCTCACTACCAAATGATTTTGGGATATCGAAGGAATCTTACTTTGAACTAGTACATGTTTTAATTCTCCTCACTTTTGAGCAGTCCATATTACAAATGTTGGAAAGTTACATAAACAGCAACACTCAGAGGATGTCATAGATGCACTTCTTCAATACTTGTGTGTTGCTTGGAATATAAGTGAACCTCATAGGGTAACAATGGATAGAGACATGTTTTTTTAAGGATAAATTGGCAGAGAACCTATCAATCTATCTTATCGGATAAATAGCAAGTACAGTCTCGAAGATTTTTCCAAGTGAGGTAGTTAAAACAATCAACTGTATCTTGAGTCTTGAATGAGATAATTCTCTTCCCTTGTTTCAAAGTCAACTTGAATATCGCTACAAATAGATTCTGTAAAACCCGTTTAGAGTTTTATCTCAGATACATATTAATGCTATATGCTTGATCAGTAGTTTTCAAATATTATGTATGTCATTAATCCCTGCAACGATAAGTTTTTCCTAATTTAGAACTACTACTAACAGAGTAAAAAGTACCAGAGATTACTACGGAACAAAATTTAGACCATGGGAGTGTCAAGCACGAACACTGCCATACTAAACGTACCTGTGTGTGAACTGCCAAGCTGCTGACTGCCAAGATTGGTGATCCATCAACATCACAAGCAAAGTCTACCATTGATCCTGATGGGTAACCATCGTATTTCTGCACAATACGCAATACATTGGAAAATTAAGCAAACAATACGAAAGCTTACTAGCTTTACTGCTGAAATTCAACAGAAACATAAACTTATTAATTCATTATGGACTGAACGAGAAATGCTCGCAAATACAGAAATAAAAAGGTATTGAAATCAAGTCATAAATGATCAGTCTAAATGAAGACTCATTAGTTCAACTCAATGTCTCAATCACATCATAATTAAAGGCAATAAAATTCAAATAATAACAAAATACAATCAAATGTACTGAATTTCCTAACAAGAAGATAGACCTTAGAAAAAGTAGAAAGCATGCCGCGAGTAGTATTTGAAAGAACAGTTCGAATTTCTTCCACTGGTGGAAGCCTAGCAGCCTTTTCCTGCAATCATCATCAATAATAAAATTTGTTTAAAAAGAAAAAAAAAACATTCAATCAAGTAATAAATATGAAAATTACATAGAAAAATTGTATACAAAATTAACGAATATTTAAAATTAAAAACCTGGTGAGATTGAATACGTTGAAGAATTTCAACATCATCAATAGCAGTTCCAGCAGCAACTTTCTGAAAATCACAAATATTCATCATCAAATTTACTATAAAAAAGATATATATGAAACCCTAGATGATGTATAGTAAAATTGACCTGAGAAGAGGAAGCCATTGAAACGGCGGTGAGAGTGCGGCGAGGAGAGAGAAAAGGAGCGGCGGAGGAAGAATTGAATGCGACGGAGTTGGGAAAAGGAAGGAGGAGGAGTTTGGGGGAAATGGTGCTTGAATTGAAGCGTGATAATGGGAGAATTGAGCATCGTAAACTAGTTGGTAGCTTCATCATGTTGCTCATCTTCCGGAATTTTTTTTTTTTTTTTTTTGAATATTGAGTGTTGGACTAATCGGGAAACTTTATTTTTTTTAATTTTTGATTCTGGTAGTTCGAAAGTTTCCCTGTTGGAGAGGTTGAGACGTGGTGCAGTGCTGGTTTGGTGGTTTTTTGAAGATGCACCAACGATTGAGACCGTTTTGAAGTTCAAATATGTGTGGTTCAATTTGATAATGCTAAATATTTACGGTAAACGGTATACATATAACATGTATAATTAGAGAGGAAAAATAATACTCCATAAGAAAGGCGGAAGTTTTTTTTAAAAAAAAAATATGGAAGTTATTAAAGGGAGGTTATTAAAAAAAATAAAAATAAATAAATAAATAAACTAAACTTATGAGAGTTTTTTTTTTGTGTTCCAAACGGTTCACCCTTTGGACTAATCCGGATTTGGGGATCAATTTTAGGTGGTTAGGTTCCATTCCCCTCCCAATTGTTGTTGCGGGGGATCGAACGCGAGTCCTCCCTACCAAGTATAGTCTCAATCACCACTACACCAACAACCAATTACTCCCTCCGGTTTCAATTATCTGCAACAAAGACAACTTTTACGGACTCCTAGGCAAAACTTTTAGGGAAGTTTAATGACAAGTTAGGGTGTTTAATTAAGTTGGAAAAAATGAGGGAAATAGGAGAGAGAAAGTGGTGCATGTGACTTAATTTTGCATGTGGGACTATGGTACATTTGAGTGGAAAAAAGGAGAGAAAAGGTGGTCCCCTTTGTGTATAATTAAGATAAGTTAAACAAATTTAAAACAAAAAAGTAAGAATAAGGATGTATTTTTACACTATAAATTTTACTAAAAATAGAAATAAAAACATTTGTTGCAGATAATAGGTAGCACCCAATTATGGCAAATGTTGCAGATAATTGAATGCGGAGGGAGTAGTAAACTTATGAGAGTTGAGTATTGAGGTTTTGGAGAAACCTCATTAACTGACTCTGTAATTATAATATAGATTCTATTTGGAACAAACGTCTCCAATATCGCCCCTTATTAATTAAAGGTCGTAGTTGGAAAATTGAAATGGTTCTTCTGTGCTACATTGGGTTGATATCTGGTGCGCTAAAACCAATATTATTGCTCTTTTTAATTTTATCCCTAATCAAATTCCTAATATTGATGTTAAGGTTGATATGTTTATCACCCATGATAATGCTTGAAATGTTCCACTTCTTCCATTATTGTATCTTCCTTATGACTAAGTCCATCGTATTCATGGGATCCCTCTACCTGTTTATCCGGTCCCGGATGCTCCGGTTTAGGGGTCTATCTAAAAATGGTATTTTCATTGTTAATTGGCAACTTGATTGGCCCACTCTCGTCCTCCTTTCTCTTGTAAATGGGTGTTCTACTGGACTTTGGATTTAGATATACAAGTATATAACCTAAAATTGAGATATTTTTTTGGCAACTTCTTTTAAATAGTCTCCCCACTCGACAAACTCTAGCCTCTCGTCACATTGATCCTACTAATTGTGTTTTTTGTATAGCTCATTTCGAATCTCAACAACATTTATTTCTACACTATATCCTTTCTCTTATGATCTTTAGTCCTCTTGTTTTGTTCGTAATTGCCTTAGTTCTTTGCCTTCTTCCACTCAACTCTCGAACCTCTTCCACTTGTTTAAATCTAATTTTCCTCTTCTTCTCCCTAAATTTGTCTTCCTTCTTTGGATTCTTTGAAACTATTGAAAAGTAGTCTCTGCTACTAATATTAGTAGTGTGTTTTCTCGCGCTTTCTCCCTTTAACAAGAGTGTCTCTCTCGTTCTTTTCTAGATTATATATATCATTCTACAAGTTCCTTGCAACCTTCGACTTCTCCCCCTCCCCCATTTGTTGCTATTTCTTTTGGGGTTACTGTAAGCTTAATTTTCATGGTTATGGTATTTGAAATTTCGCTACTGCGAGGGTTGTTCTACGAGACCATATGGGAAATTGCATTGTTAGTCACATTTATAATTTAGGATCATGCCCAACATTTCTTGCTGAAGCTATAGCCCTTTGTAACGGCCTTTTTCTAGCTAGGGACCGTAATATTTCTCATACTTTTTATTGAAGGTAATAATATAATTGTTATTCATATTTGCATGGATCATTTACTTGTCCTTGGAAGCTCTAGATGTTGATGAATTATGTGGATCGGACTGGGACCCTGCTCAAAGTCCGACTAAGTTCGAGTCTAAGTCTGAATTACGTATTGAAAGACAGTTTTAAACTTACTTATTATTGTATGATCAAGGATAAGCTAGTAGCAATTTATACCTTGGGATGATATCTTTGTTTGATAGTGGCAAATTTAATTTATAAATTACATATATGTTATGTTTAAATTTAAAATTTGAGGTTTTTTCAAAGTTTTTACGCACTAACATGATGTTAATTTTATTTATTTATTTATTACTAAAAAATAATTAGAGACTCAGGTTAACTCGAAATTTATAAGTACTAGTTTTGTGCCCCGTGCGATGCCCAGTTTGTTTATGGACTTTTAAGATAAAATTATATTATAATTCAATTTGATTGAAAATAGGTTCTAAATTAACATTTTTTTTTGCTACCAAGTTTATCTATATCTATCCAACGTGATACAACACTTGACGAAAAGTTAAGATGCTAAATGATGTTGTCATGTGGCCTAATTATAAGTTTATTATTTGATGATTTATCGAAAATAAAACTCTAAACAACTCTTATTCTAAAAATCTATCCTAAGTTGATTGAAAATGGAATTCTTAACTAACCTTTTTTTTCCTTTTAATCTTATGAATTTTATCTAAATCTATCTAAGGTGACGCGACACTTGACGATTTTTATCTTATGAAGTCTATTTAAATCTATCCAAGGTGGTGTGACACTTGGTGAAAAATTGAATTGCCAAGTGTCGTTGTCTCGTGAGCTGCTAAAAGTTTAGCTTTATATATTAGTTAATACTTTTGTGCCTTGTGCGATGCCCGGGTTGTTTATTGAATTTTAAGATAAAGTTTTAATTCTAGTTAACTTAGACCACACCCTAATAGGTCTACATAGTAATAAAATTCTATTAGATTGTGAAGTATATATATTATTTTAGCCGATTAGGACATATTATAAATGAATGATTTACGCTTTAAACTACTTCCTTCGTTCCGAAAATATTATGATACAAAAAAATAAATTTATATGATAATTTTTTAGAATTATAATCTAATATTTTTTTTGAATAAAATTATAATTCAATTTATACGTCTGAAATATTGGTATTTTATCAAAAATAAAATTCTAAACTAACAATTTTATCCTAAAATTCTATCCAAATAGAATTTTAAACTAACTTTTTTATCTTATAAATAAAGTCTATTTAAATCTATTTAACGTGACATGACACTTAGCGAAAAGTTAAAAAGCCAAGTGACACTGCCTCGTGACTTGGCTAAAAGTTTAGCTTTATACTTCGTATATTAGTTATATGATATGATATCACACATTATTTACAAAAAATAATGTGAGTTGGATTCAGATGAGACTCTGGTTAATTGGATTTAGAACCAATTCCACGGTCCAATCATTAAACAGATCGCATTCAGATTTAGCCCCACCCTATTCGTGAAAATTTTACACTACACCCCGGTTTAGCTTCTGCTACCTACACCCCCCCTCCCAAGTGACGACATTTTGTTCTTTTTTGTATTTACTTTTTTTTTTTTCCTTTTTTTGTTATATACCATTGCAAGTTAATTCAATGTTTTGAGTTTCAATTTCATGTAAAAATTATTATACTCATATAAAATAAAGAGTGTGGAGAGTTTTCCATGGTATCAATTATAATAAAGCAATTGATGATCCTTTGTTTCAAAAAAAACAAAAAAAGCAATCAATGATCCTAACTCACAAGCAATCAACTCAGTAAGCAAATTGCAAGCTTAATCGAAGCAATTACAAACAAATTGCAGTTGTTATGGCAGCGGTGGTGGCGAGATGATGGTGGTTATTGTGGTAGCGGTGGTAACGGCGGCAGTGAGACAACAATGGTCGTGGGGCAATGAAGCAACAATGGTTATTGTAGCTTAATTAGTTGAGTGGGTTAGAGGGAAAGTGCAAAGGATCGGATTAAGAAGCAGGGAAAATATAAAGAAGCTCAAATCACCCTTGCTCTGACTTTAATGAAAAGTGTATAATTTTTAATTTTTTTTTATAAACAGTATACTCGTATAATTTTATAATTGAACATATAATATTTTAAAAATGAACATATTTATTTAATAGTAGTAAATGAACATACAATGATTTATAATTGAACGTATAATATTTCCAAAATAATGAATATATTTATTTAATGGTCGTAAATGAACATACAATTATTTATAATTGAACATGTAATATTTCAAAAATAAACATATTTATTTAATATTTGTAATTGAAAAATATAATATTTCAAAACTGAACATATTTATTTAATAGTTGTAAATGGACATACAATTATTTATAATTGAACATTTAATTAAGGAGCATTATTATAGATGAAAAATGTATAAAATTTATAATTTTTGTACTTGTTATTGAAAATTTTTGAAGGTAGCACACACTCCTTATTGTAATTGTGTAGGGAATATTTCAAGCATTACCCCTAACTTGAACCCCACTGTGATCATACACTAAAGTACGGTGGCGTCCAAAGGGAAAGAAGATAGAGCAAAAGAGTCGCCAACAAGTTTTAGAAACTTGTAAACCGTTCACAGGGTGAATGTTACACCCCTTAACAATCCAGGAGATCGTTAACTCCAATAGGTCTGGAACCATGACTGGTAGTTCGGGGATGAAATTATAAATCCAACCTAAAAGAGATTGAACCTGCCCTAATAATAGGCCTCTACTTTATTCTGATCGTATTCATGTGTGCTTTCTGACTAACATGCAATCAATAGGTTTAACCCTAAACCTGTTTATCTATGTTGGTTGAATATTAATGCGCAAATCAATCTATTATTGGCGATCACTTGAATTATAATCATATTAACCCTAAACAAGATTATTAATTATCTTATTAAGCATGATTACAAGTACAAATTCCCTTTAAACATGCATAAAAGGCGTGATCAAGCAATAACAATAAATATAAAGCAATATAATAATCATAATACTAATCATAATCATAATAATCATGTTCATATTAAAGATAAAGCATAATAAAAATAGCAAGGTCCTGGGCATGATACTAACAAGATTAATAACAAACTCTAGCATGTCACTAAGCAATAAAATCAAAGCTTTAACCCTAACATGATACTAACAAAAATATTAGGAAGAGAAAATAGCAAGCATCGCAGGAATCATAATTGATATAAGCAAATCACTCTAAATATCTTACTAAAGAAAGCATCCTAACATGATACTAGGAACATCAAAACACCCTAATATGACGCTAGGAATCATAATAACAACCTAGACATGATTTCTACATCATAATATCAATTAAAATCAATTAAAGCACTTACTTGGATGGCTCATAT